CCCCCTCCCTCGGCTCCGTAAATCCGGGCCGAAGCAGCCGGGCTCCCTTGCGCCACAAGTGCGCGGGGCTCCGAACCGGGGTCTGCGCCCCTTCCTGGGGACCTGCCCTGGGATCCGGCGTCACAGCCCGGTCTCCCCTGTGAACGGGGCCATCCTGCTCGTCCCAATCGCTGCAGGAGCTCCGAGACTGATACAGGCCTGAAAACAGTTAGTTTTAGTAAAACATCTCGCAGTTGAAGCCAAATATCCTTCCTGCTGTCTTGCCTAGTCTGGTCATGCAAGACACTGTGATTTTCCAGTATTGCCTCAAAAAAAAATTTGGCGTTGTTACTGCATCCAACCTTCCTCCTTTCTCCTGCAGTGCCGCACGTAGGTGCTGTGTAGCAGATCTGCCCTGGAACACCTAGTTGGTGTGTTATGCCCTTGAAGGTGCTTGATCTTCTACAAACGGCCCTTGGATGGTTTTTGCATCTGTGTGCTTTATGGAAAAGAATCCAGCTCTGCTCAAAGACATTTGCCAACTTTCAAGGCCTTTAGATTCATTTTCACGTAACACGATAACGGGGCTGTGGGCAAGCAGTAAAGCTGCCGTCTCGCGCGTGCACACAGCTCAGGACACTGAGCAGCAACGTTTCTCTTCCTTCAGGTTGACTGTACAGCCAACTCCAACACCTGTAACAAGTATGGAGTGAGTGGTTATCCCACTCTGAAGATTTTTCGCGATGGTGAAGAGGCAGGAACCTACGATGGGCCCAGAACAGCAGGTAGAAACTTGCCAATCTCTGTACATACAGCAATAGTGCTGGCAGGAGGTCTGTGTTCTGTAGACAGTTTGTGATGTTCAATGTAATGGGGTGCAAAGGAGGGGGAACCCTTCTCTCCTCCCCCAGCTCCTTGTTGGGAGTGGCCTGGATACTTCTTCTCCCTTAAAAGGCAATTTAAAGGTTATATTTGAGTCACAGTGTCCTTGATGAGCAGTATCCAGGAAATGGTTGATGGAAAGACCTCGTATAGATAACCTCTTGGTACGTATGCCTTGCTGATCCCTGGGTTGCACGAGTATCCATCTCTCTCTGACCAGGCCTCTTGAAAAACATGACTTCTCACAGTACAACCTTTTCTGGTAGCAAGCCAGAAGCTCTTAATATGAGAATGTTGGAAAGATTTATTTATTTATTTGGTAATTGCAGTCATCTAAAAAGCTCTCCCTTTTAGATCCCTTCTTGCATGAAGTTGATGCTTGCGCTGCTTCATATAGTATCTCTTTTGTGGGAAGTGGAGTTAGGGATGCTGAAGAATCAGATTTTGTTTTGAGAAGCTTAAAAAAGTCTTGTGGAGCATTGTATAGATCCCTTTAATAATTAGGAGCTTCTTTTTGTTCAGATGGGATTGTCAGTCACCTCAAGAAGCAGGCGGGACCTGCCTCAGTGGCGCTCAGCTCTGCGGCCGACTTTGAGAAGTTCGTTGGCGATAAGGACGCCTCCGTGGTGGGTGAGTAGAGCGGCTCCCCAGGACCCCCTGGGGGTGCACAGTGACAGGAGAAGCGCAGGATCGCAACCGGTGACGGGGGAATTGGAGCTGGATGTGAGCAAGGAAAAGTTCTTCATAAGAGTCACAAAGCCCTCGCACGCATGCACAGAGGGAGGTTGAAACCTTCAGCCTTGGAGGTCTTAAACTCAGTTTGACAAAGCTCTGAGCAACCTGATCTTACCTTGGGGCTGGTTCTGGTTAGAGCAGGAGGTTGGAGCTGATGCTGTTTGTGGATTCCTTCCAACCTGAGTTTCTGACTCTTTTTTTTTTTTTTTTTTTTTTTTTTTTTAATTCCTCCTGTGGTTCTTTGACTATCAGACTTCCTGTCACCACAGTGTCCTTTAAAAGTTTGTAGCTGTTTTGACTGACTGACAACAGATACTCAGATACTTCAGAAGCTATCCAAGGGTGACATCTTAAGGTGTTAGGCTGTCAACAGCATCATGTGTTTTGATCATGAATGAATATGGTAACAGCAACTTTCCTTTGTGTGGATTAGATTGTAATAATGGAAGTACAGCTACATGGGAATTAATCAGCATCCTTAAACTTGCTGCGTATCCCTGCCTGCTGTTGTCACTAGTGGTGTTGCATTTGGTTGCGAGCAGAAATCCCCATGCTCAAAAGGCAGTTGCTTCCTGTGCTGGGTGGGTGGACATCAGCTTGGGTTGCTGAGCCAGACAAACCCTTTAGTAGCTTCCTGCTGGTAAAAGGGAGGGAATATAGACATTAAAAATGGAAGAGAACCTGTCAAAAGAAGAGGGCCTGGGCATGCATTTGAAGACTTAATTTAGAAGAGGTGCCCCCATGCATTACAAAGACAGTGATATGAACTGCACAGTAACTGCTGCTGAGTCAGTTTGGGGTCACCATCTGTCTTTCTGCTGCAGGTTTCTTTGGAGATGCATCTGGTGATGCTTATTCAGAATTCATGAAAGCTGCTAACAATCTAAGAGATAACTATCGCTTTGCACACACCAGTGAGGAAGAACTGGTGCAGAAATACGAGGAAGATGGAGAGTGAGTTGCTCAACATAAGCATGCATTACTATCAAGATGTTTAGAGCAAATTCAGGGATTTCACATAACTTCTTAAGTGGGTTTACCTTCTGAGCATAGCTTAAGATATTCTTATTTGTTTGCTTTTGTTTGTTCCCCACTGCCACTAACTCCTTTTTCTCCTTGTGGGATTAAGGTAGAATAACAACGAAACTGCTTCTTGTTAAAACTGCTATTGTGGCCTTTAAAATTCCCTGAGTACCTCTGGCTCAGTGAGTGTTCATCAGGTGCATAATACCTGAACAGAGGTATTTTGCTTCTCCGTTGGTCTTCATGTTTCGTGTGGGTATTTTCTTTTAAGTTTTCAACTTTGAAGGCCTCAGCCTGTCTGAATAATGGGACAGGGCCTGCTAGGTTGCTGTAGAGCAGCTGCCCCACCAGCAACTGGACAACCTCACTGAACCTGTGAACAGTGACTTGGGCGGGGATTGAATTCTTACTTTCTGTAGCTGCCACTCCTAGGCAATTCAGAGCTGCTTTAAACTCATTTGTGCTCTCTCTTTCCCCTCAGAGGCGTAGTGTTATTCCGTCCTCCACGCCTGGCAAACAAGTTTGAAGACAGCTCTGTGAAATACCCAGAAGATAAAATCACCAGTGGAAAGATCAAGAAATTTATCCAGGAAAACATGTGAGTGATGCCTCAGCAGATGTGTGATAGTGGCCTGAGTTCAGCTCTGTCAGGGCTTGTTCTCTGCAGCTGGCGTTACTGCCACTTCCTGCTCAAGGGCTGGCCCACAATGTGTCTTGCAAACGTCATCTCCCTTGGGGACCATCTTGTTTCTGGTAGCCCTGATGTGGCTGTTGGTGTTTACAGTCCATACTGAACCAGCCACGCTTCTCTCTAAAATATAGTGAGCTTCCAGAGAGGTGTCAGCTTTGGTCTCCATTAGCTTTAAACATGTTAACTGGTGTTGTGGCTAGAGGTGCAGATTGGATTTCCCATCCTGGCACATGACTGACAAAGGGGTTGCTTGGATCGTGCTGGATGCTGACATGTGAAGCTCTCCTTTGGGGAGGAAGCAGGACTGTGCTGTATCAGGCCTGTTCTGGGAGGGCCCGGGTCCTGGGCAGCAGGACTGAAGCTGCTAACCTCTGTTTCACTGGTAGCTTTGGCATCTGTCCACACATGACTGAAGACAACAAAGACCTGATCCAGGGGAAGGACCTGTTGGTGGCATACTACGATGTGGACTATGAGAAGAATGCAAAGGGCTCCAACTACTGGCGCAACAGGTAAGGAAGCAGATGAGCACCTTCCCCCCCGCCCTTTGTTTTGTGTTTCCTGCATTAGTATTGTTCCATAGTTCAGTTTTACATGTAAACAAAATGAAGAACTTTAATTTACTTATGGTAGATTTCAGCTGTTGGGGTGGTTGCTGTCTGCACAGCCCAAAATATAGAGTGTGTTTATCTTTTGAAACCTCCCCGGTTAGGGTTTTGGATCTCTAGTCATTGGATGCTACTCGAGACCTCAGAACAGAAGATTCCTTACTGAGGTGGTGTGAGATGCTGTCCTTTGCATCCTTGGGAGCTGGGACGCTCCCAAGCTGGTGGCAGAGGGGGGCAATGAAAGCACACAGGGCTTGCTTCTGCTCTGAGTGAAGCCTCTGCTTTTCAGCAGCATTTCTCAGGACTTCTCTGTAGAACATATCACTCCTCATCAAGGTGTTTTGTGTTCAGTGTCTGCCTGGGTTTGAAAGGTGTTATATCATGCAGAAAATGCTCTGTTCAGTATTCATGGGAATCGCCTCTTTTCCCCCTCCAGAGTCATGATGATTGCAAAGAAGTTCTTGGATGCTGGCCACAAACTGTCTTTTGCTGTCGCTAGTCGGAAAACCTTTGGCCATGAGCTTTCAGAGTTTGGTCTAGACAGCAGCACGGGTGAGGCTCCTGTTGTTGCCATCAGAACAGCCAAGGGAGAGAAATACGTCATGCAGGAGGAATTTTCGTAAGTTGTTGAACTTAGCAGTATTGCCTCTCACTAGATAGGCTGTGATCTGTGAAAAGCTCATGCTGCATTATCCTGATAGAACTGGAAAGCTGGAAGTTTCTGTAGGAAAATGACTGCTGGATCAAAATATCCCCTAGTTGCCGGGTGTCCTTTCCTGCTTGGTACAGGACTTGCAGCCCCTTCTATTGTTTAATGCAAAAGTAGAGAATTTAATCCAAGATATATCAAGTCTTTAAGAAATAAGATGCACTTAGGGATACGTATGGAAAAGGCTGCACCTCTTTTTGTGGCTGGGGGGCCTAAAACGTGGAATGGAGTGTGTCCACCGCCTGTCAGGACCCTGACAGTGTCTGTCACGCCTGTTCCGGGGTCTTCTAAGCTGGCACCAGGCTGGTGTTCTCAAGTGCAGGTGACATCTGTTCCGTGGGTGGAAGGAACTTAATTCGGCCTTGAAAGTTATCCTCTCTCCTCCTGCATGTGTCATGAGGGCTGTAAAATGTCATTTTACTTTCAGCCGTGATGGAAAGGCTCTGGAGAGATTCTTGCAAGATTACTTTGATGGAAACTTGAAGAAATACCTGAAATCAGAGCCTATCCCTGAAAGCAACGATGGGCCTGTGAAGGTGAGCACCCCTGTGCCTAGGGTAGCAGCACCTACCAGTGCATGAAGGGCAGTGTCCGGCAGCAGCTTCTGGTCGTGGGGTTATGTCCCACACTGCGAGTGCTCTGTGGTGGTATTCTCAGGAAATCTGTGCTGTGATGCACAGGAGAGCTCATTAGCTTTGCACTGCAGTTTTCTGAGCCAAGGGAGAAAAGCAGCCTGCAGTTCTGATTTCCGATCAGAGTAGCTGCTGCTGTGCACTGGAAGTGACGCAGGCCTGCTGCATTGGCCTGTGCTCCCTCACAGCATGGCTTTCAAGCAGGTCATAGCTTTATGTATTACTAAAAATCTTACTTTTTATCCATCTGGGTAAATTCTGTGTTGAGTGAAAGTATTTCATGT